TTGGGCCCTTGGACCCTTAAGGAATTAGGATCGGCTTTGGAGAGTAGAATCGGCGTAGTGTTGACCATGCGGAGTCTAGGGCTTAGGGACTTAGGGTGTTAGCCATGTCAAAGGCGACCACACTGCTCCCGGTAATTACTCAATCCAACGTCCTGAACCTACCTGTGTCTTCAGAACATCTCTTGGGAAGAGTTTGGCAACATACACACTTGGGGTACGGCTCAGGTAAAAGAACTTCCGCAACTAGCATATACATTTGACACTCATGCACTGAGGAACAACTCGGCGTTTCAATCGTTGAGTTTATACGGGGTTGTCCTGAAAAATCGGGGTGCAATATGTAATATAATACCTAGCTGGAGAGCTGTTGAAAGTAAAGTCTTTCTATAGCTTAGGCAGCTATACGCCGCGTAGTTCATAGGTGAGGGTTGCTGTGTCCTTGTGGGAGGCTATTTCAACAGGAAATGCGTGCAACCGATTTTCGGTGAGCTGCCACCTAGAAATTGCGCACTCCAGGAGCCACATACCCTCAAGAATCCCGGGCAAATCATTCCGTGAAGCTGCTTGTAGAGGAACTTGGGCCCCTTATGTATGGGCGGCGCGAGTCTATGTTGCTTTCGCCAGGCCTTTCGTAAAAGAAGCCCGAAAGCCAGAATCCTACGCCCAAACCCGAACTCCAACATGCCCAACTTCTGTTCTGTCCCTGTAAATTCTCGGGCCTTCGGTTTCGATTTGGCTCTCAATCATTGTGCAATTGACACCCCTGGAGGTGAGGATATCTTGGATATCTTATATCTTGATATGCGGCTCTAATCACGTGCCGTTTTGAGAGCTCTCCTAAAAGAAAAGGGCCGTCATGTGTTCAGGGTTCGTATTCGGACCCGTAATTCTGGGAACTGCCGCGATCTGTGGTGCATATGAGCATTTATCAAGATTGGCGGCTCTCACTGCCCGCAATGCCAGAAGCTCCAACGTAAGCTTTCTTACAAAGATCCCCGAAAGGGGGCCTACAACTTGGAAACACAAATCATATCATGGCGACTTTTGAAACCCTGAAACCTAAAACCCTAAACCCATACCTTCTAGCTGTAGTCTCCTTATGGACCTATAATTAATATGGTATCTTGATTGATTCCTTGGGGTTATGCTATAAACAAGATTGAAACTAATTCCTAAGGAGACTACAGATAGCCCCGAATTCAGAGCCGCGGAAGTGCTGTACGGCTGTCCTTTGGCTCATCCTGTGCTGGGAGGTGGAACAGCATAACATTGTCCTGCGCCGCTTAGCTTGGGGTTATTAGTAGGGACTGTATTGGGGTTACGTGAGCTATAGTTTAAACTCTTAGTATCCTCCTTAACATCCCTTATAGTACTCCCCTTTTTTCTCCCAGATATAACCCCCTTTAAGGAATTTAGACTATAGCACATTTAGGCAGAATGAAACAGTGGGAACTATACTACCTTGGCTAGACTTATATTGGACATTGGGGATCTCTAAATGCCCCATGCCTTTTCGTGGGGTATGTCAATAGGGCGATGATTGTATCATGGCGGGTGCAAGGAATAAGGGAGGAGTCTGACTTCGAGAGAGAGTCCTATGCCGGGACGCCACGAGTTCAAACTATTCCCAATCAATGTCTGATGCAACGTCTAGACTGCATGCCAGCTTGCGCTGAGGCACTATCCCACGCTAGACAGCTTGCTCTGTGTATTACTGCGGGAAGCATTGGAAGCTGCTTTGGCCTTCCGGCATGTGAACAAAGCCATAGTGTTGGGCTGCATTCAGCGGGGGGGCTATGGGCATTACAAAGCGATTGTATGGGAGTTCCTCATCAGCAACCATGTGAGACATCCCTGACTTCCAAGATTCTATCCGGGCAATCAAAGTTGTTAGGATCTCAAAGAAGAAGGGCTTTTGGTGAGGAGTTGTCCAGAAAATTCTCATAGTTGGTACCATGCAAGCCCTGAATGAATTGAAAACCCAAAGCCGTAAACCGGCCCTAAGTTTCGCCCATACATCGGCGTTCCGAAAGTTTTGAGCTACGGGGCCTTGTTGCATGTTTACTGGAATGCAAACATCTTGCGGAGTAGCGGAGGGGCCCAACATGCCATTTTCACTGGCCCTGCTACATGTAGCGGAGTAATTAATACTCTGTTTTAAAAATATCATACTATTTAGTCCCAGGGGAGGCCCCAAGGCTCCGTGCTAGGAGTCTACGGGGAGGAGGGGTCGTTCTTGCTGCGCCC